AATTGTTGTATGCTAAAAGATTCGTTGTGGTAGATGATAATTTAACATCCTAGGATTACATGAAAATCCAACACATACATGTATAAAAGAAAAGTAGCAGGAGGAGATATAAAAAATTTTTACGTGGAAAACCCTGGAAAGGGAAGAAACTACAGGTTCTAACCTAGACAAAGTAATTTGCTATAAGTGTGTAGAATATAATGATTCTCATTTTCCCACAACTGTGAGAGCATGCTTATAATTTTACACCAAATACAATGCTTCTCCGTGTACAACATAGAGAAAACTTAAGAGTTCAGAGAGAGTCGATGTATTCTGAATTTGTTATTTCGTATTCAAGATACGCCATTATATTGTATTCAAGATGAGCCATTACACCATAAGATTCCTCGGCGGTGACGAGCAAGGGCAGCTGGAAGTGGTCGACGACATTCGACTAGCGGTGGTCAACAACGTTCGGTGGCTGTGAAGGTCGAAAGTTATCACTGAAACTTTAGTCCAGAGCAACATTGCCATTTAACTCTCCTTTCCAAGTGAAAAGAGATGATCTATTTATAACCATTGGAAAGGGGCATTATGGTCATTTGGTTACCTGATTAGACGATCCATATCGATTTTCTATAACGGAATTTTTTAATGATTTGAGGGTCTTAATGACTTTAAAATTAAGCGAGCTTAGGCGCGTTAGATTCCTCTCGCCGAGATGCTCGATTTGTCTATAAGTGTCATATTGGTTGTTAATTTAACCATCCAATTAATGACCCGAAACTTCTAAATGTGATTATGGCGATACACTTATTCAAATCGGCTTTATTTAATTTGAATTTCAAATGGTTCTTACCAAAAAAAAAAAAAACATCGAGATTGATGTCAAATGATGATGCATCGATCATATGTTAGAACTGATGTTTGATTTAATATAATGTCGGTCATTATATGTTATCTTATTGCTTGCAAATGATCTCTGCTCTTCATTTTAACAGAAATCTTAGTAAGCACTAAAACTCTTAATAACTAATTCAGTCGTTGCATGCTAATGAAAATGTATGGAAGAAATGAAGTGAAAAAGTTAGAATGTTATAGTTGAAATTTTGAATGGCTAAAAATATAATATTAGGACAGTTTACAATTGGACTTGCATGATACTTTGTAATTTATGGTAATAATTAATTACTTATTATCTATGTTTGGCTGGATAGGGAGTGGTGGTGTAAACGAGCCGAACAAAAGCGAGCCCAGGCTCAGCTCGTGTTCGGCTCGTTTATATTTTGAGCTCAAAAAGTGTGTTCGTGTTCGACTCGTTTGCTTAGCTTGTGTTGGGCTCATTTGCTTAGCGAGCCGAACACGAGCCGTTCACAAATAGTCATTTTGACAACCCTAATCACGTAGCCATCAGGTGTTAAGGATTGGGGCAAGATTTAAAGCATCATTTGAATCTAATTTAATAAATTTTATTCTATTTTCTTCATTAATACTTTTAATTGATTATAAATCTTTGTAGCCTTGTAGCCAAGTAAATTTTTAACTCATCAAATATTTGTTTCGTGTTCGGCTCGTTAACTTAACGAACGAGCCGAACACGAGCTGTTTGCGATCAACGAGCGGTTTTGACAGCCCTAATAGGGAGTGGAATGATGTGGTAAGGGGAATAGCACAATTTTTTATTTATGATTACTTTTTATAATAATAAAGATCATTGAAAAATACATAAAAGTAAATGAGTAAATGGTATTGATATAAATGACACTAATGTGAGGGTTCTTTATAGAATGCACTCAACATCATTTTAGAATATGGCATTATATGCCATTTATGATTATTAGGAGGTGTTAATATAACGGCATATTTAGATTAATTCCACATAATTTTTATGTATTTTCATTTTTATCATTTAAGAGCTTACATTTTTTTTTTATTCTGTGCCTAAATATAAAGTATCATGCATATATTTTGTTTTTAATTTAATATCAAAATGTAAATGTTAAGCATATGAATTATGAATGTATAGAAGTTAAAGGATGTGTATGTAAAAAAGCTTCATGTAAAACAACTTCGATTAAGGGTCCGTTTGGGACTGTTTGTGCGTTTCAGGATAATCTGCTTATCCTAAAACTCGGCCCGCAAACCGGCCGCAGGGGTCGATCCGCGACCTGCGTTTAGTGTAAAAACTCAAACACAGTTTCGGATAAGCGGACAAAACGCTAACCAAACGGTACGACGACGTTTTCAAAACGCCGCCCGCACTTATAAGCTGCCCTAAACGGACCCTAATAGCACTGATTGCAGTCGACATTAAATGATATCTAACATTTTAGAAGAAATGAAGTTATGAATTATTGTAGTTTTGTAGGGATCTTAGGAATGAATAAAAATAAAATAAAAGGCATTTTGACAATTTATTTGATAAAAAAATTATGATTAATATTAAAATAGCCAAAATTTTGAATTTAAATTGATTGAATTTGCATGAGAATTCTTGCCAAATTTTCATAACATGCTCAAAGTAGTGAGCTAAATGTTAAGTTTGATTAGATTTTTCTAAGCATAATTTTTCAATTTTTAAATCTTTGTTTGCTCGAACTTCTAAATTTAAGTTGTTTGGGGCAGCTGTAGCTTATTAAAAACTAGCTGTGAAGTTGTTGAATAATAATCTGATGCTCAAAAAGCTGCAATGACTATTACATATTTTTTTTTGTTATAACAAAGTCAGAGCACAACTAGAAAACTGCCACTCCACCTAACCAAAAATGGTGTGAAAACGTCGATTTCAGCAGTCATTTTTTGAAAGAGCTGTCAAAATGCAGTTTGCCAAACAGCAAAACTGCGGTGCGGTGTCGCACCGCCACCATAACGCCACCCCCAAACAGACCCTTAGATGTGACATTTGTTATTTGATATATCAATTACGTATTTTATTATCATCAAAATTACAAAATCAATATTCTCCTGTTTTTTAAATAGGCAAATCTATAAATTAGCGATTAAGATAATGAGATAAAAGATAAATAACCTAAAATCATTGCAATTATAAAACAGGATCTAACATCTTTAAATGTTAGATTTTTCTAAACATAATTTTTCATTTTTTAAATCTTTACTTGAACTTCTAAATTTAAGTTGTTTGGGGGCAGCTGTAGCTTATTAAAAACTAGTTGTGAAGCTGCTGAATAATAATATGATGCTCAAAAAGCCGCAATGACTATTTTATATTTTTTTTCTTATAACAAAGTCAGAGCGCAGCTAGAAAGCTGTCACTCCACCTAACCAAAAATGGTGTGAAAACGTCGTTTTCAGCTGTCATTTTTTGAAAGAGCTGTCAAAATGCAGTTTGCCAGACGACAAAACTGAGGTGCGGTGTCGCACCGCCACCGTAACACCGCCCCCAAACAGACCCTTAGATGCGACATTTGTTATTTGATATATCAATTATGTATTTTATTATCTTCAAAATTACAAAATCAATATTCTCCTGTTTTTTAAATTAGGGATTAAGATAATAAGATAATAAGATAAAAGATAAATAACCAAAAATCATTGCAATTATAAAACAGGATCTAACATCTCTAACTTCTGTCTTAGTTGAAAAAAAATAATTTCCATTCCAGGGATTAGCGAAAAATATCAATTAATTATTAATTATTTAGAACAAATTTATCATAAGAATTAAGCTAATTCTCAGTGATATGTTATCTAATAAATGATGTTTGATCTTAATATCTTTGTCACACAAGTGTTGAATTGAATTTGTTGTATGATAATAGCACAATTGTTATCTTATTTAATTAGTGTGTGTTCTAATTTAAGTTTATATCCATTAAGTTAATTTTTTAACTACAAAATCTGAGTAGCTATGACTATGTTTATGAAGGCAGTGTAATTATTTAACGTCTTAGTATTGCACAAAAATTCAACACATATTTATATGATTAAATCATAGCAGGAGAAAACACCATTATGTTTTATGTGGAAAAACCCTAGAAGGAAAAAAATCATGAGGGATACCCCAGTCAAAGTAGTCCACTATAAGCGTGTAAGTATTTTGAGACAATTTTCTCGTATGCGAGAAAGTAGGGTTATAATTGTACACTAGAAATCCCTTGATTAGATGATGTTTGATGGACATTTGAGTGCATTAACGATGTTGGAATTGAGCGAACTTTGACTCGTTGGATTTGTCTTGTCGAAATTCTCAATTCAACTATAAGCTCTCAAGATTTGAGATATGTTTGACCTTCCAAATATGCTTGGAAAGCTTTCAAATGTGGTTTAATGACTTGATGAGGGCATGATATGACTCTAATTGGACCAGTTTTGATATCATTGAGATCTGTTTGAACCGAACACAAACAAACCGAACAATGCGAACAATACAAACTATTTGAACATTTTGAACTCTTTGAATTAATTTCAAGCAAATCAAACCGTACACAAACAGTAATTTTACGAATAATTTCGACACGAGCTCATTTCAAACACCAATAATTTCAAACAAATCGGACACAAACATGAGCTCTGTTCATTCATGCTGGGTTTGTTTTCACCCCTATTCTTGTCGAGCCGGTCAACTTTTAATTTTTTGAAATCAAAGTTTTGGATGACTTTTAATTAAAATTTGAATGTTCGTTGTTAAAAAAATTATCGGGATCCATATGATACATCGAAACTCGTGCCAGATGATGACTATTTATTGATGACATATCAACACTAACTATAATTAAATTATACTAATTAATGAATAAAATATTATGAATTGATGACTAATTATTTCAAAGAAATTATAATTATCAAAGCTCACTTAATAAACACTTAAAAAAAGGATTATTATAATTAAAGTGAAAAAAAATAAATTAAATTGAACAAATTAATTCAAATTTTGATATACATTGTAAATCAATTTCAATGGATTTAATTAAATTTAATGTTTGTTACAGTTTTTAAAATTTAATCATTTTGAGGTTTATTAAATTCGACTTTATAAGGCTAATAAATCCACTTAAATTTAAATCTGAAAGTTGTCAAAGAACCGCGTCATCTTTCTCTTCTGAGCTCAACCTAAAACCCTAACGCTAGCTCATGGTGCGGTTGGGGGCGCTCGCCGCCTCGACCACGTCCACCTACACCTCCGGCCATATATGGCGGATCATCCCTCGTCCCGTCCTTGAAACGATACTTAACAACTTCGCAGACCATCTCCGCGTCCCACAGCCCCTCCTGCTCCATGGTCCTCGTGGGGTCGGCAAAACTTCCCTTCTCCTCCAACGCCTCCTCCCAGAATGGAACAAAGGCCATCACATCACCGGCTATGTCGACTTCGCTGCCAACACTCGCGTACCGTGGACCTTTTTTGCTCCTGCTAATCTCCCTTACGTCACCAACCGCCTCGAGCTCGAGCTCGAGGCCATGGCTGAGCGAGGCGTTCGCCTCGGAACCATAGGAAGTGCATCCGTATTCACTGCGCTTAACAAGTGGCACGGCGTGGGAGGCGCTCTCCGCCGGGTCATTGGGCCGGATCGACTTACAAAGCGAGACGAGGCGGTGCCGGTGTCTGCGCTTTGGAACAAGGCGTTGATCGTTTTTATGTCCCGGATTGGAGATGGTGAGCTTGATACTGCGCTCGGAGAAGCTGCTTCTCGAGAGGAGGCGGCGTTCATGAGGGAAGGTATGTTTGCGTTGAGGCTTGCGAAAGAGGTACTGGGAATGCATCAGGAGTGGAGGAGGGCGGCAGTAATGCATCTCAACCAAACTGGGCGTTTCTCGAGGACCCTAGCGAATTCTGCCACTGATTGGCCTTGTCTCCTTCTACAGATACTATCTGATGCTGCTGAGATCGATTTCTTTCAGGTTCGGGAAGTATATTTTGCTAAACTAATTTGGTGTGGGATTTAATTGTAGCAAAATCTGGATGAAGTAAATATCGAGACTTAAACATGAAAACCCCCAAAACTTTTTGATTTTTTTTTCAAGGACAGAGTAAATCCCTTAAAACTTTTTTTGGCACCCACGCACATAAGTTAGTACGCAAGCAACTTAAAAATCTCGTCTGAAATGACTAATTAAATTGTGAATTGCTGTTAGTTTTATGGTTATTCGCTGAAAACATGACTGAGTTTTTCATTTACCAAAACTTGCTGTATTTCATTCTTATTCCCTTGAAACTAGGGCTGTCAAAACGGCTCGTTGTTCGCGAACAGCTTGTGTTCGGCTCGTTCGGTAAGTTAACGAGCTGAGCACAAACAAATATTTTTTCGGTTGTGTTCAGCTTGTTTTGGCTCGAAATACCACTAATCAATTATATATATATATATATATCTGTGTGTGTGTGTGTTTAAAAAAGTTAATTGACTACATGGCTACAAAGATTATAATCAATTAAAAGTATTAATGAAGAAAATAAAATAAAATTTATTAAATTAAATTCAAATGATGTTTTAAATTTTGCCCCAATCCTTAACATCTTATGGCTACGTGATTAGGGTTGTCAAAACGACTCTTTGTTCGTGAACGGTTCGTGTTTGGCTCGCTAAGCAAACGAGCCGAACACAAAAAAACTTTTTGGGCTCGAAATATAAACGAACCAGCTGAGCCTGGGTTCGCTAGTGTTCGGCTCGTTTACACCCCTACTTGAAACGTAATAATTTTTTTGCTAGGTTGTTTCTTTTTATATAGTTATTATAATATAAGATAGATTTTATGAAATTGATGTTGCAGTTGTAGAGCTTATGGGGGACCTGCGAACTGGACAAGGGGTCATTTATGGAGAGATTATTTCAAACTTAAAGCTTATGCAAAAGAAATTGCTCTAGCTATGCATTATTTATATTATGTTGTGTAGAATTGTGAACAAAATATTAGAATCATCTATAAATAGTAGTACAACAAAAAATGCACTTCAATAGATAGCTTTGTGTATCTTTATATATGCACTAATAGAGATGAGATAGGAGAGGGATACTCTTTTGACAAGGAAAAAAAAGGTGGGTTTGTGCGATGGAGATCAATGGCAAGACTAAATTCTTAAATTTGTCTTAGAATCTGATTTACTAAATCTGTATTTACGTCGTAAAAGAGACGGAACGTGGGAAGGAAAGACGGAACGCGAAAAAACTTGATTTAATAGAGCGTTGGATTTAGTTTTTGTTTTTTTATCTTTGGCTGGATTTGCGCTAAATTCATGGATAAATTCTATTTAAATTATGCTTCCAAGCACCACCAAAGGATTTCCATCTTAATTCGTATTTCACTTAGATAATTCTCTTTTAACTAGAATTAGTTCTCAATGGCCTTGTTTTCCACACATGAATTAAGATGAAACTCTAAATCTATTGTCTTGGACCCCAAAATTTTTCAAAATTTTGTAGGTCCATGTGGTAGGACACTCAATGGATTGTGTTAATTCTAATAATATCTTATATGTCTTGGCTAGTTAAGTTGGCGAGTGTAAATATCTCAACCTTGGTAATAGGGTTGGGTGAGTAATAATCTTTTGTGCTACAATAACCAGGGATATCTATTGAACCACTTGAGACGACTTGGACATTAATCCTTTCAAAGAGAGTTCTGAATTACAAATGGGTGATGGAAATGTGTCGAGGGTAGAAAAACAATCTCTTAGAGGAAAAAAAATACTTAATTTGATTATTAACATGCAGGGTACATATATATATATATATATATATATATATATATTTGTATGTGTGATGAAATCAATCCCTCATAATTTACAAACTTGCCAAATATATATAATCTAAATTAGAAAATGAAATAGTTATGAAGGGAGTAAGCTTAAGAAAGTGTTTCCAAAGATATCCCCAATAAAATCTTTTCATGATTTTCTGAAGCAGCTGGCTAGCCCACCATGGAGAAAAGCCGAACTTCTCAACTTTCTACGCTTCCCCTCAAGCTGGGTCGTAGATGTTGTAAAAACCAAGCTTGATATTGAACTCTGAGAAGGTGCTTAATGAAAGAGCTTTGGTGCAGACATCAACAACTTATTGGTGTGCCAAGATGTAGCTTAGCTTTATAATTCCATTATTAACCTTTTTAGAGATAAAATTTCTATCCTTTTCAATTTTTTTGGTCGTCTTGATGCACTGGATTCTTGGCAATGCCGATGGTCACAAAACATCGGTATAGGCCTATTGGTGGTGCACCTAAATTCCTTAAATAATTATGAATCTGGTCGTCTTCACAGATTCCTAAGGCAAGTGTCCTATTCTCTGATTCAGTATTGTTCTAAGAACAACACCTTGCTTCTCACTTCTCAGTGTAACCAGATTTTCCCATATGTAGGAGCAATAATTTGTGGTGGACCTTCTGTCAATATTTTTTGCAGCCCAAGATGCATCAATGTAGGCTTCTAACTTTCTGTTTTTGATTTTTTCAAAAATTAATTCATAACCAAGAGTTTTCTTGAGTATTCTCAGAATCTTGTGCACTATCTCCAAATGATCTTTATTTGGGTTATTCATATATTGGCTCACAATACAGATAGAGCATGTAATATTTAGCTTCATAAGCGACAGATAGATGAGTTTTCTTACCAATATTTGTTATCTTTTCTTCTACATAAATACACTTTCTTCTTCCATATTAGATTTCTTGTCGGGATCCATTGGAGTTTTGGTAGGTTTGTATCCAATCATCCATCTCCTTTAGTAGATCTAGGATGTATTTTCACTGTGATATAACTATGCATTTCTTGGATTTTGCTACTTCTATATCTAGAAAATATCCCATGATTCTTAGGTACTTGATTTCAAACTCAATAACAAACACTACTTTGATGTTGAGAATTTCGCTTTCATCATCACCAATATGAATCATAATATTCACATATATTATCAGTGCAACAATTTTACCTCTCCGAGAGTATTTTATGAACATAATATGATTAGCTTGACCTTTAGAATATCTATTAGATCTAATATTTTAACCAACTTTTCAAACTACTCTCTTGGTTTCTTGAGTTTATATACTAGATATTTGTTGGAATCATTCTCAAGTCCTAATGGTATCTTCTAATATATTTCTTCTTCCTCATCCCCATTCAAGAAGATATTTTTTATTTCAAGTTGTTGTCCCCATTCATTGTTAATTGCTGCTGAACAGAGAACTCTAGTGGTGTTTAGTTTGACAACTGGCGCAAATGCCTTTTGATAGTCAATCTTATTAGCTTGAGTGAAATCTTTTACAATAAGTCTTACTTTGAATCTCTCTACACCCATCAAATTTGTATTTGTTGTTGAACACCTATGTGCATCCAACTGGAAGAGGGCCCTGCAGATTGGCTAAAGGGATTCCGACGGAGTAGGGCCTGCTGTAGGATTGATTCTGGTTGCAGGGAGAGTTTCAGTGGTAAAGAAGAGCAAGGAGGGTCTGCAAGGAGAATTCTGGTTCAGGGTACAACACAAAGAATTTTTGCTACAGGAAAGAGCCGAGGAAGGGCATACGGGGGAATTTCGGCTAAGGAGAAGTAAGACTGAACAGGTGGAGGATGAAAAAAAGGGAGGGTTCTCTGCACTCTACAATCCCGCCATTAGAGAAAATAGGAGTTTTAGGTCTCTTCACACCGCAAACGTCGCAATGGAACAAGAAGAAGCATCAAACAATGCTGTGGAAGCTTCAAACAATGTAGTTAGACAGAGTCAACATGCGATTTAGACGAAGTGGACGGGCGATCTCGATGGGCAATTCAGATGAAGATATGTGGACGAAGCATACAATGAGCGAACGAATGATTTGAATGATGAGTGCAGGAAACAATGTTGATCTAGTCAAAGCATTCGTCGATCGACGCAGACAGACGAATGGTGCAGAAGAGCAATACAGTTGGACTTGGTTGATGAAAGATGCCCTAATCTAAGGGTTCAGATCAACGGGTTAAGTTCTGGTCTGACTCGAATAGGGTCAACTCGAATCGGACCAGAATAATAAACAGATAGAAAACTAAGGCCCAAACCCGACCCAAACCTGAGCTTGACCCACTAATAAACAGGTTGAATTCTCTTTCCTAAACTTGAAAAATATTCAGGTAAATCATAACCTGGGTTTTTCGAGTCATGTTGACATGTCAGGTCAATTTTGACACTCCTGCCCTATTCTCATCGAAGTCGAGGTTGGAACTCTGATACCATATTGAAAAAACCTCTTGGAGGAAAAAAATTACTTAATTTTATTATTCACATGTAGGATACATATATATGGTGAATCCAATCCCTCCTAATTTGCGAACTTATCAAATGTTTCTAGCTAAATTAGGAAAGGAAATAATTCTAAAATAAAAAAAATAAAGAAACATAAAATCTGAAGGGAATAAAACTAAGGGGTTTCTAAATATTTCTCAATCAAATCTTTTCATGACTTTGTGAAGCAACCGACAGCCTGCGATAGAGAGGAGCCGAACTTCTCCACTTTCTTCAGCGTTGAAACCAAAATTTTCCAAAATTTACTTGATCCTTGAAGCAGGATGCTCGAAGGATTTTGTGAATTCTCATAAGAGCTTCTTTATCACGTTAGTTAGATTGGCAAGCTAAATCTGTCAATCATAGATAGGATTGGGTGAATGATAATCTTTCGTGCTACAACATTGCGGGTTTTCTTTCGAACCATGGGAAGACTTGGACATCAATCCTATCCAAGTGGGTTTTGGGTTACAAATAGGTGATGGAAATGTGTCGGTGTTAGAGGAGGGAGGAGGTAAGGGATTTTAGTTCTATTTGTGTTTCTTGAGGTTATTAGTGAATTATATCACATATTTGCTTTGTCTTTTTTTTTATAGATTCTTTGCTGTCGTTTAAGCCCTTTTTTTCTTCAAGTTAGAGGAAAGTGTGGGGAAATTTTTCATTTTTAACTACGAAGTAGTGTGCAATAGCACAAAACTTTTTTTTGACTGTTAATTTCTTGCTTGTCGAAAAGCTTTTGAGGAGCACTTGTATTAAAACTTACAATACTCTGTTCATATGATTCTTGCTTTATATTTTTATTTCAAGTGAGGTGAAATACAATGGTTTAAATTTTTTGTGAAAAGCATTTTATAAAATTGTCTCAGATTAAATGATAAATTTTTGTCAGCTTTAAAAGTATTTTTTTAAGAAATCATATTTACCAAATCACATTTCCCTAGTCTGGCGATTCCCTTATTCAAGCTAGTTTATTGCAGTTTTATGATTGAGTGTTTAAAGATGGAATGAGTATGCTTATATTGTAAACTCACTACATGCAGCCGAAGCTGGTTATAAATAACATTGATTTTCTTCGGAGGACTGTCACAACAGATGATTCAACTGTTCCTGCTACTATGTATCATGATAGTTTAATATGGAGAGTCATAGAAATGGGAGTGAATGATAGATGCTTGCCAGTAATTTTTATTACATCAGACAGGTAAGCCTCTGTCCCATAATTCTCATGCATCTGTACCTTTGCAAGACATCCTGCTTTTCTTACGTCCATGCAAGTTAAGCCTTTATTCTAGTATTATTTTGCTCGTGTAATATCTTTGTTTTACTGGAGTTGCTTGACATTTTTAAATGCGATAGAAACATATTTGACATGCCATGTTGAAATAGAAAGGCAATTGTTTTGAAGCTATAAATCATGAAATTTTGTTTTATGATGAACACTCGGTGTAAATCATGAAATCTAAGAAGTTTTATTTTTGTTAATTTAAATTTAGTTTTTTTATATGGTTGTTAAAATTTGTCTAGAAAAATGACAAGGATTATCTTTATACTGATAATATGAGAAGTAATGAATATTCTGATAATTAAAATTTAGTTTATCAATTTTTATCTATCAATTTAGTACGTTTGTGTAATTTATTAGCTGCGAACTATGGAAAAGAAAATTTGACATGGTTTAAGCAATAATGAATTCATTTAAACTTAACAAGGTAAACTTGTATTCAATAAATTACATTATAAGCATGTCCTTAAAATGGTATAATATTAATTAATTGATTATTGTCTTGATATTCTTGTGACTCCCAATTTTGACAATTTTAAGGTATACCGGAATTTTTGCATCCCTCGGAATTTGACCAAGTCAATTTTATAAAACTCTACCCGTCAAATCAATCAATTTGATATATAATACTACGCATGAATTTTTAACATATGAGAATATATAGTAAGTTCATTAAATTTAATTAATCCCTTAATTATTTTCCCCAATCTCCGCCACATTGTTGTTATTGACACTTTTTTGCGATTCTCAGTTGTGGAATGAATTGAACAGCTGAGAGTTAACGGGTGTAGGTTAAATGACACATTCCTCCCGTTCCCTCTCCTCCATCTCTTGAAATTGCTTGATTGAAGGGTCCTACTACCCATGCACTATAGTAGGGTGAGCTGCACGACCTGCGTCGACATTTCAGGGTTTCAGGGAAAAATCATAAGGTGGGAAACCCTCTTTTATGGTATTCTAGACATTCATTTCTTCTTTTACGCTTTCGTTTTGATATTTGCCACAAATCAAAACATTTTTAATTCCCTGTCATTGTATTGGGAGGCAGTGTAGTGTCGAAAGCTATGAACTTGATTTTGGCTTTTGGATTGGGCCGTTAACAGGAAATCAATTAAGAGAAGTGCAAGGAATATCCGAAGGATGTAAGAAAATAAAAGTTTTTAGGGATGATTTGGTCAAGGAAGCTCGTTTGAAGAAAGGAATTCATAAATGTATTATGTTTGTGGTTAAATCCCGAGATAAATCAAGATCATTAAATCCTAAGATATTTATGAATTACAGGTTGTTTACACTAGGTGAAAAGCTCGAGAAAAGCTTTGGGAAACTCGTCGTAGGACCGTTCTATCGATTTAGGTGAAATAATCTCATGCTAACTTAAAAAAATTAACTGTAACTTTTTTATATGATTATGTGTTTAACACTCACAATTAGAATTTCTATATATTGTGGATGAACATCTGCATAGATTATATGAATGTAAATTTAATTTGTCTATTATGATACCTATAATTTTATTATGTTATGAATCTAATAAACATTTTTTTGAATTTATTGCTCAGACATATTCAGTTATTATGATTGCATATGATGTATAAAATGCCTATAATGAATGTCTCTTACGGAATTAGGATTTCAAAAATGTCACAAGTGATGCTATAGGTAGACTATTACATGAATACTTTGAAATATATATGATGGAAAATATTAGTATTTTCAACCCCTGATATTCAGACAGAGACGAAACTCTAGGAATCATTGGGATTAGATGACTATGGAACGTACGAAGCTGTTGGTACTGGGAGGGTTGTTAATAACTGTTATGTGGGGGTTCAATCTTTATCAATGGTTAATATAACATTTGGGCTTAATGATAACACATTGAAATGATATTACATGAAAATATTTGAGGTCAGTGCAATTACAAGTGACATTCATATTATTAGATTGGTGATTTATGAATATTCTTATGATTACACATGAATGGATGAAATAATAACTTATAATTTTTCTTACGATTAGACATGAATGGATGAAATATATGTTTTATACAACAACTATAATTTCATGCATTACATGTCTTTTATTTTATATATTATGTATGATTATATCATGTTGTGACATGTGTTATGGACACGTACATGTGTTATATATGAGCATGCACATTATTTTTTTTTTCTGTGTATAAATTCTTGTTTTAGCTTTGATCATTTCACTGAGTTCATTGTTGTTCATTCTATATTGTTGACTTTCAGAAAGAGGTAAACAACATTAAAGCGAGTAGTCAAGTGTGACTTGTACAACTTTTGCATTTCATAATTTAGGGTATTGTATGGACTTTTGGGTACGTGTTTTTATTTTGTATAAATATATATATTTTTGGTGATATGAGTTTTCACTTTTTCGAGTATATGCGAATATGAATGATCTATGAAATGAAAACTATCAAATATGTTTACGACGGTTTAGGTAAACTAGCTTATCATTCACTAAATCCAATTTTGTAAGTTATGAGAAGTGTTAGTGAGTATTCAGTCTGATCGAATCTTCCACCTTTATCGCATCACAATTGAAACTCACGTCCGGTGTGTCACACCCTAACTGGGCCCCTTTAAGGGCTGGTTTAGGTGTGACGGAAGCTAGCAATTCGGTCAAACTAAATTATCACTAGCAATTGTCCTGACTTACAAAATCAAAATTCAGTAGATAATGAACTAGTCTAACTAAATCGCCGCAAACATATTTAATATATTTCATAATTCATTCATATGCACATACTTGGAAGCGTGGCAATCATATGTGTGTGTGTGTGTGACAATTGTGGCTTGTTGGAAACAATCATGTGTGTGTGTGTGTGTGTGTGACAATTGTGGCTTGTTGGAAGCCAACTTTGGCGTGAGTCTCTTCTTTCCTGAGTTTGAATCCCAGCTGGGTTGAACAAACAACTATATATACATACATACATATAAAGCTTCTAAGTCTAGCATTATTAAAATATGTACCTAAAATTCTGTATAAGCTTCCAAAATTATGAAATATAAAAACTATAAAAGTCATAAATGTCTACTCACCAAGGTGTTCCTTACCTCTTTCTGAAGTCAACAAATTATAGTAAGTAACAACGAACTCGACAAAATAATCAAGGCTAAAATAAGATTTTATAGACAAAAAAAACATGCATGCTCTTATGTAATCCAAGAACATGTTTACAACACATGACACAACATGCTATAAACATATAAAACATGAAAGAAAAATGTATGTAATGCGGGGAATCATGACTGCTGTCTAAAACATTTATTTTATTTTTTTTAGTAATCATAAGCGTGTAATCATAATTGTATTCACAAGTCACCAATCTTATCAAATGAATATTATTTGTAATTATATATACCCAACTATTCTTATGTCATGTCATTGAGTCGTCATCCTGCCTGAATGCTACATTAGCTATTGATAAAAGTTAGGCCTCCTAAACGTAGTAGTTATCAATAATACCCCTTGGTACCAACAACTCTTTACATTTCGTTGTTTGATGCCGACGATCCTCAGAGTTTCGTCACTATCTGAATACCGAGAGTAAGAAATTTAACTATTCCTTATCATTCATACTTGCAAGTATTCATGTAATAGCTTTAATTATAATATCACTTGTGGCATTTCTTAAAACATAATTTGTTTAAGAAACATTCGTCATATATCATATGCATGAATCATAGGGAATGAATACCTGCTGACAACGATTTCCTAAACATATTCATCATTCATAACATAGTTAAATTATATGTATCGTAAGGGGGAATTAATTTGATTTCATACAGTTGATACAAATATTCTTTCAAAATATACATGAAATTCTAAATGCAGCGATGTTAAACATGGAGTCACATAAAAACTTATAGTAATTATTTCTTTAAGTTAGCATAAAATTATTTCATCTGAATAGAGAGAGCAGCTCTACAACGAGTTTCCTCACAGTCGCCTCGGCTCGCCGTATAGTAATGTAAACAACTTACAATTTGTAAATATTGTAGGAGTTGATAAAATCTTAGCTCATTTCTTGATCTAACCCCAAACATAACTTATTTACAAATACTTATCACAAACAGGCTTCTTGGCATAACCGCCACTTCTCGCGTCCTATTTATTCTTCTTCCCTCTTCCTCTTATTTCCTCAATCCTCTCTTTTCTTCGCTAATTTGTGCTACGTAAGCCTAAAAAATAAGTTTGTTGCTTCTGAGACAAGTTTGTCTCAGCTACAACTACTGGAAATGAAAAAGTGCACCGATTCATGGTATACGTCAAAATGGAAATGTAAAGAAAGAAAAAAATGTCTAAAGATCATAAAAGAAAGATTTCTACTGACCGATTTCATGCCGAAGCCCGAAAATGCAGTTCGTGGTTCTCTGTCACCCACGAAAGTTGCGTTGGTTATGGGGACCCGAGCGAAAATCTCACGGTAAGGAGGAATCGACGGAAGGGAAGATGAGGGATTGTGACATTTCACTCTCGGCCATTTGATCTAATCATTTCGTAGCATGGCCCTGCAATGCGAGAGAGGTCGGCTGGCTATATTGGTGGGATTAAAGAGAACAACAACAAAACCTTTATCCCATTAAGTGGGGTCGGCTGCATGAATCCTTTTTCTTCACTGCGTCCTATTTAGCGTCATATTTTCATTTAATTCTAATAAATTATAATCTTTTTTTATAAAATATGTAATATTTTTTTATAAAATATGCCCAAGTTTTCCTAGTTCTACCTTTGCCTTTCTTAACATACGTCAAATCTAAAACATCCAATTTTCTAATCGGATCATCAGATGGTCGACGTTTAATGTGGCCAAACCATCTAAAATGACTCTCAATGACTCTCTCTAATTTTGTCTAATTTTGTCCGTCACTAGAGCCACACCAACCCTA